GTGTGTGTGTGTGTGTAGGGTTGAATGACGCAGCAGAGGGAAAACACAAAAGCGCGTCGCCTTAGAGAAACAGAAAACCTGAAAACCTGAAGCTGCCTCCTAGTGTCTTTGCCTGGTTTTATATCTTCAGACAAGGAAACAGTTCACAGAAAAAGGAGAAGAAAGAAAGCCTTGTGTGTCATTCAACGTGTGATAATGCAGTCTGATTCGTCTTTAAATGGACTGCATGATGCCTTAGGGGGTCTTTTGCATGACCATAAACCTCCACACAAATGAAATAATACTGATAAATGAAAAAATAAACTATCCACTTTCTTCAGGCTCTTTAATTGCCAGCAAAAGTTTGAGCAGTTTCAAACATAGAAACATAATTGGGATAATTGGGACACAGTCTGCTGTGTCTATGTAAGACATAAAGGGACACATACAGGTTTAACTGAGGACATGAGCTAAAAAAGATGAGTTAGGGGGCTTTGGTGGGACTGATTCAGTTACTATCTGCCCTATTTTGCATTATTATAATGATCTAATGTAGGCTATCTCTAAAAATAACATCATAATAATAGAGTCACTCTTTCCCTTGCTTCATATCCCTTTCGTCTCCCTTATTTGTTAAAAGCAACCACAATCAGAAAGCACTACAACAGTGCCCTCCACTGGGGAAACATCAAAGTGCAACTGACAAAAAGAAGAAAAAAAACCTCTCAAATCAAATTATAAGAATTTATTTTCAAACACTACAAAGACTCCATCTTAAAATCAAGCCTCATGAAGTGAAAAATACAAACAATATGTACAGTGCATTGCTTTCATCAAGTAAACCTACATCGCTGACTGTGTGTGAACAGTGTTGATTGTGAAGCTACAACAAACACATAGTTCAGACAATCTTTCAAGTGGGTTCCAGGTGCGTTTCAGTACTCGAGACCATGTTGGCAAGAGCATGTCAAGTTCAGTCTGTCACTCAGGCCCCTGCAGGGTGAGTCATCACTCCAAACCAGTGGGTTGGTTCTCAGTGTGGCGTCAGGAGGGGGCTCCAGCAGGGAGGGGTCACCACCAAATCAGGCAAAGTCATAGTTGTACAATGGAATAATACAGTGTAAGTGTAAATAGTGTTTTATTCCACTGGGTTTAGCCCAGTTTCATTTAATATAATATTCTATTCCTTTTCACAGCTTCATTACCTGTGTGTGTTTTTAGATATATGTGGATATTATTATTAACTGAGTTTTATTCTTTCCTCTCCTATTTAATGTGTGTATGTTGACCTGGGTGGTGAGCTGCTGCATGCAACCACCCTTGCAATGATGAATAAGGTTGTATAGAATAGAGTAGAATGAAATAATTACACCACCATCTAAAGGTTATCCTAACAGCTGACATATAAATAATAACTTAGTCATATGTTGCACTATGTAATCTTGTCATTTAGATTTAAAGTATTTAAACTGAAGACAATTGTGTGTGTGGTTTCATGTTGCCACTGGGAATGGTAACCTCACCATTAAACATTGAGTCAAAATATGTTCTTACTGTCAGAGATCATGCAAAAATGTTTGAAATCAATTCCAAACACATCAGATAAAACCCATTGTGCAGCAGTGCCCCCTCTAGACGGTCAGCTCTTCACTGACTAACACATATCACAGTGGCCATATAGTCTTGTTGGACCATATATATCATGGATGACGTTGGTTTGAGGAGGATTTTAATGGCAAATAGATGATTTAAGTTTCTGGTGGTTGGACTGTTTGGCCTCTGTGATGTGAAGACGCCTGAGAACCTCCTGGTCTCCTCTGCAGGTGATGTTCCTCCTCTTTGCGGCCGAACACACAGTTCTTCTGGGCGGAGCTCAGCCTGAGTCGTGTCCGCTGTTGTCGGCTCCTCCCTTCGCGGTCCCCTCCGGTACCTCCGCCGTGCCGCTGTCCGACTCCTCCTCTATTGCGAAGCGCGTGTCCGCGGAGGAGCACAGGGAACTGATGCTGCTCTGCTCCGTGCACAGCGCGCACGCCAGCGGAGAGGGCAGCGCGCCCTCATAGTGGAGATGTCCAAAGTGGTTGCCGTGGTTACCGCAGAAAGGCAGCGACACCTGCACCGAGCGCAGTCCCGAGACGGCGGCGGGAAAGGTGAGGCTGTGTTTCTTGGGCAGCGCGCCCCACTCCCGCTGCTCCTCCTCGTGCACCAGGCGCGTGAAGATGTTGACCCTCCTCTTCTCTCTCCTTTTGGAGCGGAAGTAGCCCAGCATTATACCACAGAGGAAGATCCCGTAGAAAGACATGACTATTAGTATGTACAGGTACGCGTTCCCGTCATTTTTGTCCGCCTGGGAGTCCGCGGTGCTCTGTGTGTGCAGGAAGAGGCGTTTGGGGGATGCTGTGGAGTTTTCCAGGTGCTCCATTTTATTAGTGCAGCGTACACGGAGAACCTTGAAAGTGCTGAAAAAGATATAGAAGTACAACCATAAATATGATGGGGTTTTTTTTTTCTCCATTACGCACGTTTTACGCAAGCTTTACGCACAAAGACAGGTTTCCAATGAATTGAGTTTTTTCTGTACTGTGATTATAAAGTGATGAAAAACTATGAAAACACACATGTAGAGTCATTATAAATCCACAATTATGACGTTATGGCAAAACTAGTTTTCAATCTCTTCACTTGGGTAGGGCAAAAAGTGAAACTTGGTAAAGTTATACCTTAACTTAAGGAGTGGTCATTGCAATGGAAAATAAAGATAACGCAAAAAAGTAACAAGTGTTTTACTTTGCCGGAAAACTTTGCAAATAACATTCAATGCATACAGTTCACTTTCAGTTTTTAAAAGGCAACTTATAAGTATATTCTTAAGTTTCCATCAGGATTCTTAAACAACTGTTCATTCATATATAACATTGTTGATTTTATTTTTAAGTTTTGTACTAATATTATCTTTTCTTGTGTTGAAAAAACAGTTTCCAGTCATTTAGAAAAAGTTACCAAAAGTCTACACAAAGTGATTCAGTTTTTTATAAAACTAACAACAATGATGATAAAGTCATAAACTGTCTACTCACCAAACAAAGAGCTAAGTCTAATGCAAAGCGTTACCGCTGGTATCTTCTTGCAGCTCCTCTGGAGTTTGGCAGCACTACTAAAAGGATGAAGTTATTTATATAGAGACCCAGCAGTGTCATCACGAGTCACATGATGGGGACTGATTGTAACATGAATCCTGTGTCTATGGAAGCCCTGAAGGGACGTTATGTTAAAAAATAAAGAACAAACTGAGTATCTTTTAATGTTATTCACGCCTCGAGGGGGATCTGATGAAATCATTAAATGCCCATGAGTATATTAAACTTTCTGAAGAACTACTACATCATGTCTCTAGAGTCTGACAGAAAGAGGCCTTGAGGGGATGTGATGGAAAAATACATTTAAGGCGGAATTCCGACTTTTTAGAAACTGGTGATGAATTAATCGTAAAGTCCCTCAATCACACTCGGTCAGAGTGTGTAAGAATGCATGGCGATATCTACAAATACCATGCTGACTGCACCAGTCTCCTTATTTTCCATCTAGCCTCTGTATTATCCTGAGGCACAAACAATAAACACATCTACTCTCCTCAAATCAATTTCCTTGCAAATGAACCAAAAGCCCATGAATACAATCATGCAAAACATTCAAGAATGACATGGTGGAAATTACACAGAGAATACAATCAAAAACAAATTATTTCTCTGAGTGTATGAGTGATACAGAGACAGGCACACCATGATTCCATGATGGAAATTGTATTTATAATGACAAATATTCAGATTCATATGATTTGCAGTAAGTCTAAAGGGACATGTTTTTCATCTGGCCTTTTACTAAAGTAAAACTACCAATAAAAACAATGTAAAAATACAAAATCCCTGCATTTGAAATCCTACTTCAGTAAAAGTACAGAGGTATTATCAGCTAAATGTACCTAATGTATTCCATATTATTATACTACATTGTTTATACTTATATAAACAATCTGACTGAAAAATAGTTCTACTACACAAATTTGTATTTTTGCCTTTTTGTTGATGTTAATCTTTGCTTTTATTGTGAAATATTGGAGGATACACGGTTTTGAGCCTCAAACTGTTCCTTGAAGATCCAGTAACATTTAAGAGGATTTATTGGCAGAAATGGCATATAATATTCATAGGTTGTGTATTTGTTGCCTTAGAATGAGACATTTTATCTACAAATACAGGTCTTCTTCTACGGAGGCCGACGCGTTGAACCGCCATGTTTCTACAGGAGCCCAGAACAAAAAAGAAATAAAAGAAAACCAACACCGGTTTTAGATAGGGAATAGGGACTTTTAAATGATTTTTGAGTCACTGTAGTTGCTCCTACATACTTGGAAAGCGAGCGGTAAGTTGTAATCTGCAACTTCACCGCTAGATGCCACTACTAAAACTAAAAAACACACTGGTCTGGTAATGGTAACCTCCTTAGCATTATCAATGTCAAATCTTAATCTAAAACATAAAAAGCAAGTTAAGTGAGTTGAGTAGCTCAAAGTTATCTTTAAGTATAGTACTGGAATAATTACTTTTCACAGCAGAATTCTGTGTCAAAGCTAGGATTTTGCTTTAGAATATGAATATGAATGAAGTCTCATTAAAAAAAGAGATCTAATCCTGAAGCTGTTTAGTGCATGCAGCCGCAACCTTGGCAATGCAGAAAACCAAGCTCGTTTAGAAGTAAAAACGCAAACAGACTAAAGCTGTTTTTTTAGGATTTTTGGGTCATTCTAAGGGTGGCTCCTTTTCTTAAAAACGTGATCTCCGAATGACTGATTTAATTTGATAGTCCGACTGAACTCCTCCCTGTTCCCAAGGCACAGTCAAGGATCAGTCTGACAACACTGGGAATTTACGCCTCAATACCGTAATAAATGCTGAGCATTAATGGTTGAATTGGATTAGCTTCCAATCACTCATAACTATTATTGAATTAGTGAAGACTGATTTCACTCAGCGCTACAGACACAAATAAATGGCATCATCCGTCTGTCTTTTGGTCACACAGGCATCGATTTCACAGCCAATGAGATGCTGAATACAAGTGCTTAACGCTTTCAATTGAATTCATTAGACTTGGTGATTGTGGCAGAAATATTAAATACTTGTTCAAAGGAATAAACTACCCCTGCATGTAGACCAAACACAATCTTTATTTACTTCATTTGAGTATTTTTCCAAAGGCAAATTACAAATAAATAGCTAGATGCACTTATGTTACAAGGCAGAGAGGACTGCTCTATGATAATAAAGCTTACGGTAAAATAGAGGCTATACATGTGCTTCCTCTGCTGATCACTGCTCCGCGTACATACATACACTGTACGTACACATAAGAAGAAACATCAAATTCAAAATCAGTCAGGGATTAGAAAGGTGTGACTTAGAATTACTGGAGAAGGCAACAGGTGTCACATGGTGAGGAATGCTGGGGCCATGTTTGTGCCGTGTTATGGACTTGACGAGTCATTCACTTAGTCATACTCGTGCAGCTGACAAAAATATGTGTCAAGGCTCTAAGCTGGTAACCACAGTCCGGCAGGACAAATGTACACACAAAAGTCGCACTTGTCAAAGTGTGATCATTCTTCAACCAGTGCACCCACGCACGTTGAGGAAGTTTTATTTGTGTCCTATCTGTAATTGACTGCGTTATTTGGACAGAATGATACATGTTCATATTGCACTATGATTTATCAAATATGACAATGATTACACAGTCATTTCATCTGTAATACAAGCAAGTAAATGTGCATTCTTGGGCACAATGTGGTCTGTACAGCACATAAAAAAGTATACTCTATCACTGTAGGAAAATACAATAGACTAAACAACAGTACATCTTTGTTTCTTTTCTTTTTAAATAAGACTATTTGGTGCAATTTGTGTCATTTTCCTAAAAAAGGACTATGGCCTTAGAGCTTCAGTAGGTAACTTTTATAAAAATATCTTATATTTTCTGAAACCTTCACTGTTTCCTGACAGTAGTACATGAGACAGATAATCTGTGAAAAATCAGGTTCCTCTGGCTCCTCCTAGTGTCCTACATGAAAACAACCAGACAGGAGCCAAGAAAGATAGTTGATTGTGGTCGTCAAATACAGACGCTTTGGGACTGGAATAAGACTCAACAATCTTCAAGCCATCGACCCAAGCATCTGTACATTGAGGACCTGGATATGAAATTCAACTCAATTAACCTATTTCTCGGCTCTGATTGGTTTTTTATAACTAGTTATTTTTATAAATATTACCTATGAAGTTTAATGTTGATGGGAACTAAAATTGTTCATTTCAGATATGACCTTGCATTTTTCAAGCCTACTCTCATTTGCCCTCAAATGATTTGTGCTTTTGGTGTCAGATGTGTGATGGGAGAGACGCCCACGACAGTGGGAAGTCAAAGTCTGACTGTGGGGGGAAACAAAATAAAACACTGAGAACTCAAAACATGTGAACAAAAGAGAAAAAACAAGAAACAAAAAGAGTTAACTGTCTCGCGACTGCAGGAAGAACGATGAATTGGAAACCTTTAAGTTAAAAAGCTTACTGGCAGATCACGAAGAAACTAAAGGAGGATTTAGAGAGTAACGTAACGCAGTCCTAGTGCTCATGGGGAAACAAAAACAACAAACCTGCAACCAAACTGAGCTTTCGCTGTGGCACTCAGAGTATAAAGAACAACACGTCAGCTAACACACATCTGTTTCATAATAACCCATCTGAAAAATAAAAATCACACAACAGAGGTATACACCTGGGCAGAAGAAAGGGGAAAAGGCAGCAGTGGACAGGGATTTGTGTTTTCCTCAACACTTTGTCTTTTAAGACAACTCTTCAGCTGTTTTTGATTACAAATTCAAGTAACCCACTTATCTCTTTCTTTGAGAGGAGTGTAAAATTTACCAGATCACGGTATTATGTTCCCATGGGGGAGGGAATAGGGGCATTTGAGAGGGTACTGGGGTAGAGTCAGTGTTGGTCTGTTTTGAGAATGACAACTGTCGTGTGGCTTGTATTTCCACGTACATTCTTTCAATGTGTTCTGTAGTGTGTTTCAGGCTTTTGCGTTTGAGCGCTTGAATGGTCAGTCTAATCCGTTCGGGTCACGGGTCTGGCTCAGGATTTGCGACGGTTCAAAGCGCTCTAGTTGGGCTAGACGAGAAGGCAAAGTTAACTCACCTAAAAAGGTCCCGCATGGTCACCTTGTCTGACTGTGCTGGAGCTCTGAGCTAAGTTTACCTCTCTTTGTGCTTTCACTCAGAGCATCTCAGTGATGATCTTGAGGACCAGCTCTCCATGGCCCTTGTTGTATGCACAGGTCTTCCAATAGCTCGGTACCCGTCTGGTAGCAGAGTCGAGCTTTCTGATGGGCACCCAAGATCGTACGTCATCACTGCATATCAGCCCCGGAGGAGAGGGGAGTTAAGGTTATTAATGCGCCTGGTCTTTGTGTGTATTTAGCACTGGATGTTTTCGGGATGTATGGGTGATTGACACGACATCACCACTGATTTCCAGAAAAGAAATGGAAACACACATGCTTGAGCAGTGGACGATTGCAACTTCGCTATCTATGAACGTATCTGTTGACTGTGACGACACAATGAATGAACATTACGGCTGTAATATTTTCAGTTCTAAATCAGTCATTGTAAATGCTTTTTATGGTTCATTCAAAAATATTGTAAGTATAATTTGTAAGCTATTTCTACCTAAAGTTCACCCGTGATCAGCAAAGCTTAAGTCCGTGTGAACATTTAAAAGGATCTATTGGCAGAAATTGAATTATATCCATAGGTATGTTTTCATTCGTGTATATCACCTAAAAAATAAGAAATAGTTTTTTTTTGTTACTTAGAATGAGCAGTTTTTATTACAGACGGAGCCTCTTATATGAAGTCCACACATGGTTGAACCCACCATGTCTAACAGTAGGCCCGCAGAACGAGACAAAATGGCTGTAGACAGTGCATTTTTCACGCATTTTGTGGCCACCACTGTTTCTCCTTTGTGCTTAGAAGGGGAGGGTTAAGCAACTACACCACTAGATGCCACTAAATCCTACACACTGGACCTTTAAGGGGATTTGTTCAACTTAATAACTAGCTAGTAGCTAACTTCTGTTGGTGCTGGGTAAGTAGCGTACAGGGCTGCATCTGAGCTTTTATTCCCTGAAAATTGACACTGATTAGAGCAGTGAGACAGAACCAAAATAGTAAAGTTGAGGACAGTAAAACCAAAACAACGAGCTGAAAGAAGCTAAAAAGCTTCATTGTCACAATGATGTGCTTTTGGGTTCCATCCTGTTTTTACTAAGCCTTTAACATCTGTAGAGTGAAGAAGACCTGCACAGTTGGGGAAAATTCTCTGTGAGTTTTACTCCTTTCACATCATTGATCCCTTATTGATTGAAAAATATTAGTTAGAGCAACTTTACTGAACAGGATGTAAAAATAATGAACAGGCAATCGATCAGTCAGGATAAGGCGACCAGGTGAACGGAAGTTACCTTGTCATAAGAAATCCAATACACATTATAGTTTTAAAATGCTCTATAATATGCTTCAGTAAATCACATACTTAGTGTCAACCGTTAACTTTCAGTTTTATTTACCAAAACTCATCGTGTGTGTCCTCGAGGTCTGACAAACAAGATGAAAGCATTTCCTTCCTCAAAAAACATTAACTATTAAGTATTTTTTCTTAACACTTAGTGCATTAATGCCACCTATAGACCTGTGGAACTGTGTGAAACCAGTGGCACGAATGTGTATCTAGTCATTTACACCTACCTCGTGCTTGTGTGTCCTGAAATGAAACGAAAAGGGGACTCACTGGTAAAGACATGTCTCCATAGTGCTACTAATCAAAAACTCTACAAGGAACCTTTACTGTTTAACAAACTGGTATTTAGTTCTTGTCACACAAAAGACCGGTGTTATATATATCAAGTTGACACATAAATAGTTTTATATCTTTTAACTGTCTACATGGAGCCCCTGTAACCCTTGGGATGTTTGTCAAAGGTATTAACTTACTGACAACAGAAAACAGTGCAGGGCTGCTTTATGTAATGTTGATTGCAGTTACGTAATAGTTATTGTCTTGACACTTGGAGAAGTAAGCTTTTTCCTGTAAATGTCGCAGATGATAGAAAAAGAGCATGCTGTGAGAGGTTTTTATAGCTTTTTGCTGTAAACAGCAGCCTGCTGTTGATAGAAACATGGTTGGGGGTTAACAAGAGTGGTGAGACTGAACAATTAAGTAAGTAAATCAGTGAGCTCTTGACATTACTTGCAGTCATTTTCCTATTTACTAAAAAATGTATTGATAGGTGCAGTTTAGTAACTGAGGAGAAGCTAAGCTAAAACTACTTCAATAGATCATCTTAGAAGCTAACTGAAACTGTGCAAGCTGGAACCACACAATAAATAATTGCTCATGATTTGTGTATTGACACACCTGAACAATAGAATCACATTGTAGTCCTTTCAATCAATGCACTGACACACACACACACACCTGTTGGCATAGGCACAGATGTTGTCGACCAAAGAGCAGTTCTTCAACATGGCCTCCACCTTTCCCAGGGAGACGTACTCTCCTGCCTGCAGCTTCACCAAGTCTTTCTTACGATCTGGAAGCACAACATAGAAACCTGCCTGTAATAACATGAGCATATCTACAATTGTGGAAATGTTAGTATTTCTTAAAGAGAAGGGAAGAAGCTGGGGGTAGGACCCATTTTCCATTCAACTGTGTATATCTGACCAGTGTTGTCTAGATAACAGAGAGAATTCAGGGTTTCTGGCTCACTGAAGTAAACACGACTGTGGAGTAATTCTGGGAAGTGAGGTAAAATCTGATTTGTTAAAAGGTTTCCTGCCAGACTGATGGATGGGAGAGGAGCAGAGAGGTTGTCTGGAAAAAATCCAGGAATGTGGGGCACAATGTTGATCATTTGTGCTTTTGATGTAGCAGCATCCGAACCCGGACAGATTACCCCAATCTGCACCTGTAAAACCAACCGTATATCCACTACACTTCACTTTAAACGTCATTCCTTTCCTCACCAATTATCTTGAGGCATCCGTCTTCTTGAAACTCTCCGATGTCGCCTGTGCAGAACCACCGCTGGCCATTCTCATCTACAAGGAAGTCTTCATGGTTTTTTGCCTCGTTCTTGTAGTATCCCATGGTTACGTTGGATCCACCAACCAGAATCTCTCCTCTAGGATTTGGCTTGTCGGTGCTACGGTAACCACCTGAAAGCAGGGTTTAAAATCAGTGGATTACAAATGAAAACTGCAATAAAAAATATCCAAAACTCACAGTTTTGCAACGTATTAATTTTTGCGGTGATAAAAACCTGATAGCATGTTTACTTTAAATTCTATTTGTGCTCAGCGAGCCAAGCAGGCAATAAACTCAACTTGATATGTATCAAGATTCAACAGAGCGCAATAAAACTGAGTTATGATCCCTTACGTAAAACGATAGAGGTTGTACAGGAGTGGAAGGAAAAGAAGTATGCTTTCCTTACAAGGTTATGGGCCAGCTACAGTGATTTCTCCTGAAATGCTGCCTGGGAAATGATTAATGGTGGACGAATTGGCATTCTTAAAAAACTTTTAGTGTGTGTGCATGAGATGACACAGCAAGGGAAAAAAAGCAACAACGACTGATGTGAATCTGCATGACACTGAGTGTATCATTTCATCATGGATTGTGTGTGTGTGTGTGTGTGTGTGTGTGTGTGTGTGTGTGTAGCTCCTCTCCCTGTCTCACTCACCCTCCACCCAGTCTTTAAGCTTGATCTCACAGCAAACCAGTGGACCTCCCACTCTCCCAGTGCTGTAATCCCACACTGGAACAGACAACACACAAACATGATAAGGAAGCACACAAGCATCAAGGAACGACATTTATTACCATAGCAACACGACCTAACTTGTTCCTTCGCCATGGAAACCCCATCCCAAAGGAATGTCCACAATACAGTGTTTTCCTGGCTCATGACCACAGTGGAGAGTGACAGGCAGTGGGCCATTCGGTTGGTCTACTCTGCCTGGGAAAGGCTGGGAGTATTTCTACAGTTTGACATATTTGTCTGCAATGAAAGCCAACAGATAAGCTAAAAAGTTTAAAAAAGAGCACTGGGACAGCTATTGCCGCCACAGATATGAGTGGCATGACTTTATGCACATTACAAAGACATTAGAAAACGATTTCCCTGTTTACAAGAAGCTGTAAGGAATGTCTGCATTTTCTGGGGGAGACAGTCACGTGACTGTATTTTACAGAACCTGAGCACAAATCACATCCCTTAGTTTGACAGTTTAACAACAGACTAAAAGCATTATGCTAACTGGGTTCGAAGTGTACAATGATTTGTTGCTAATGCTGATTTTTCCACACCACTGTCGAAAAAGATAACCTACTCCCTTCTCTGTTTACTACAACCCACGCACAATATATCTTCTTATTACTTTCCTCTCATCTATTTTCCAATCCCTGCTGTAAAATTCCCTCTTCATGTCCTCCCGCTGCTTTTATCTCTGCTTGCAAGTAATTTCCCACAATTGCTCAATAATGTGCAACTTTTCCAGTTAATGAACCTTCATTTGGAACAAATTACTATTTCAGATTAGTTAAAAAGCAGTCGTTACTGTTGATGTACAGATGTCCTCCACATTGAGTTATTTTTGCAAATAGACCAAGAGTCTACAGCAGCGCTAACAGCTCTGTGACAGTGGCACAGCAGTGCTAGACCTAAATGCTAACATCAGCATGCTAACATGCACACAATGTCAATACTAACATCCTAATGTTTAGCAGGTATAATGTTTATCATGGTCACCAGTTTAGTTTAGAACGTTAGCATGAATATCAAGTAATTCTGTCCTCTCAAAAACATCTCACAACATTTGTGATGCTGCCTTGTAGTCCACTGAACTACAACGCAACATCACATCTTCTCCGCTGTCAAGACAAATAAAAACACTGTGTGGAGAGTTCTATGTTCTTCTTACTGACCACCAGAGAGGGTGGAAATAACAAGCATTTGTGTAGTGTGCAGAGTCAGGTTTTAAGGCCAGTTTTATTCTGTATTGTGATGTGATGGATATTCCTAAATATTGTTATTTTTTTCATCAGTATAATGAACCGTATACTAATGCTTACGCTCGCTAATGGTTCCAGCACCGCAGGTCTCAGTCAGGCCGTATCCCTGACCCACCGGGCAGCAGAAACACACGTTCATGAAGCGTTGGGTGGCGGCGGAGAGCGGCGCTCCACCTGATAACAAGACTCGCGTCTGACCTCCCAGCAGAGAGCGAACTTTCTTGAACACCAGCCTGAATGGATAAACAGAAGGCAGGGGTAGATTGCCGGGGAGGTATAACATTAACATATGTATCAAGATGCCACTGTAACAACTTATCTACACACTTGTCACATAAAGGTGTGCTGTATCCTTTGGCGAGCTGCTCCAGTTTGTAGTTGTATGCCAGAATGAAGAGTGTTCGCTGGACACAGTTCATCTCCTCCACCTTGGTCATCACGTTCTTATAGATACGATCCATGATCTCCTGGAACCAGGAATGAAGACAGGGATGGAGGTGAGACAAAGAGAGAAAGAAAGAGATGAAGAGATAAAGAAGAGTGAGGACACATCAGAGACTATGGGAAAATAAGATACATGCTGGTCAGGAAGTCCTGCTTCTGTAGTTCAGCCAAGTGAAAGGATACAAGTTTAAGACATATGAGTTGCAGCACTGTTGCATTGCCAATACATCTCCTAATATGGGGCCCAACCAGAGCTCTGGCACCTTAAATGGGAGATTCTGCCATGGACCCAGATAGTAAGTATTAGATCTGAAGGATGGAGGCACATTAAGTATATGCTTGATGAAATCAAAACCAAGAGACATTTGTGATATCTTTTATATTTAGGGATTGTCTTCTGGTAGCATAATTTTTTTTACTGGGCTGGTAAAACAAAAGGTCCAGTGTGAAACATTTAGGAGGATCTATTGACAGATATGGAATATAATATTCATAGGTATGTTTTCACAAGTGTATAATCACCTGAATATAAGAATTGTTGATTTTATTACCTTAGAATGAGCAGTTTTTATTTGCAGAGAGAGCTTCTTCTACAAAGTCTGCCATTTTGAACCACCATGTTTCTACAGTACCCCAGGACGGACAAACAGTAGCTCTAGAGAGTTGTGTTTTTCACTGGTTTTGCAGCCATTGTAGCTTCTTCTACACATCTTTAACGGGACAGCGAGGCAAGGGAGTTGCAATGAGCAACTAGGCTGCTACACGCCACCAAATCCTGGTCCTTTAAGGAAGCTGAAGTTGGGTCTGTAGTCGCAGCTCTGGCCGTACATGACCCAATCTCAGAGCACAAGATGATTTAGGATGGCCAGAGCTCATAAAACTTAGAACAGAAAAAATCCAGAAGTCCAGAGGAACAAATTAGTTAAATTTGGAGAACATGTGTTCTTAAGTTTAGCTGCATAACAACAAGGCTCCCCAATGAATTACTCACAACCAGTGACCTACAAAACCAGAGGGAAACCAAATGAATCAACACAAGGGTAAATCTCTGGGTTGGTTAAATGAAACAGAGAACTATAGTAAACTTGTAGAAGTGAAACCTGTGCACAAAACTCAAATCTAAATCCTTCACTGTACAGTAAGAGGTTGTTGTACCCATTCACAGTAAGAGAATGTATAATTTTGTTTGACTATTGCCTGGGGGGGAAATACAGAAAAGTACAGCAAAAGGCAAGTAATATAAAAGAGAAATAGCCTACATCAGGATCTCAAACTTCTGGCCCGTGGACCACTTCTGGCCCTTCATTCATTTACTTGAACATTGAAGTGGCCCTTTTGATTGATAGAATAGTTGTTTGGTCCATAAAATGTGTAAAGATATTCACATCACAAAATCTCAGAATTTGGAATTTTTTCTTAAAAAATGACTCAAAACGTTTAACCAATTATCATATTGTTTGACAAGTAATTGTTGCAGCTTGAGTTGCATGCCTAACATGACTTGGTTTTTTGAGGTTTTACTGTCAATGGTGGAGATCAATCATCTTTCAAATCAGTCCTTAAAAGCTGGACTTAAATGGGTAAAAGGGCACAAACAAAACAAAACAAAAAAAACAATAAAAAACAGCTGTTCCCACTGTGTGTGTGTGTGTGTGTGCTGGTGTGTGTGCATGTGTGTGAATATGTGTGTGAATCTAAAGCAGTGAGAGAGGAAGTCGACACAGGATTCATGCAGCAGCCTGTTGTCATATCACAGCAAACAATTTGTATGTGTGTGTGTAAGTATGTGTGTATGAGTGTATGTGTCGTGGGGATAACCACATGGGGCTTTCTCACGTTCTGTTTACAGCTGTGAATGGTTCCAGACACTGGGGCCCTCTGCCCTTTACACTACGACCACTGGGAGATGGGGGTGGGGGTGGGGGTGGGGCTGAGCTCATGGTGTGAGAGAGAGGAAGAGAATACAGCGGCAAGGGCATACGGTCTTGGACTATCCGACGTACAGTCTAGCCAACATGAGCAATGGAATTATAATCTCCTCTGGGTTTAAGTCATTTCAAATTTCTACATTAAAACGATTAAAGTTTCATCATGGCTATTGATTGACCAATATGTAAACATCACATTACTCATCTTTGGGGTTTTGAAATTAATAAAACTCATTAACTTTCATGACATGTGTGGTCGGCATTGCAGAATTGGTGGTAAGAAAAGCTACTGATCTGCTGAAAAAAAGTTTAAAATGTTGCTTATTTGTCGGGATTTACAGAGAAACATAAGCATTGTTGTCATAAAGCCTTTTTGTCTTATATGAAGCACTCTGAATAGCATTGTTGTTAAAAGGTGCTTTCCTTAGCCTTCATTTGGCGTCGCATTTCTGGTCACCTGGTGAATTTAAGCCCAATATTCAGGCTGGCTCGGTTTTGGTCTCCATCATCTCCTGAGGGAAATATCTGACTCTTTAACGGGTATATTCTTCACTATGTTCACCAGCTAGTTGCTAACTTTATCTGACTTTGGTGCTGGGCGGGAAGCGTACAGTGGAGTTTAGAGCTTGTTCAGTAAAAGCAGCTGCCTGCTGCTGCTGGAAATGAGGCTGATGACAGCAGTGAGATTGAACCAAAAGTTGCAGTCTGTAAAACCAAAACAATGAGTTGAAAGATGCTAAAACGCAATGTAGAACTGAGGCGAACTAAAGAGTCAAATAGTAATTCTCTGTGGGTTTGTCACTATGAGCGACCTCTTTCACGTACACAGACTAATTTCATGCATTATTCATATAAAAATGTGAATTATAGCTGCTTTAATCCTCTATTATAATATTTTTTATGCAATCCTTCTTTAACCACACTGATGGCTGTGTGGATACCGTATTAGATGAAACTTTTCCTCAAATTGTAAACTCCCTCTAAAACTAATAAAGCACCCGCTCTGCTCTTTCACTGACAAAATAAATACAGCTATGATAAGTAAAGCCCATCCTGGCGTCACTGATGAAATGGATTAATCACTCAAATGCACTTCAAAGACAAGCAAGACTAGCCAACTTCAAATATGCCCCATGGTGTCTAACATGGTTTGGTGATGAAAAGCAGCATTGGATGGCGGTAGGAGGCAGAGTATTTACGTCACAGTCGGTCCAGAGGCAGAGTCCAGCAATTCAGGCCTGCTGGACTCCGTCACTGCTACTCCACAGTTGGACTATGAACAGAGACAGAGTAAAATCTGACCCGCTGCCAGACGAGGCTAAACTGAAATGGTTGAAACAGACTTTAGGGAGAGTGACTCAATGAGAGATACTGTGAAGGCGAAGGCTTCTCAAACATTATACTGTATAATGCGTGGAGTTGTGCTGAGTGTACTGTTTTGACATACCGGGACAGCTGCCATCAGAGTGGGTTGCAGGACGCTGGTGTCTCCCTTGCTTCCCTTCTTGATCTTCGTTGACTGGAAGGGGAAAAGAATGATTGCATCACATTTGAAACTTCTTATTTGAAGACTTGTATCTATTTTACATTGTTTTTGTTTATTAAGTGCAATAAGAGGGATGCATTAAATTACCCTGCATCCATAATTTTCGGAAGTCATGTAAAGCAATATTTTAGTGGTTTTACGGAAGAAGTCTGGGACAAATTCACTCATATAAAGCAGGGCTGTGATATGGCCTTAAAATAACCACATCTGATTTACAATTTTAGTCAATTTTTTTACGATTCTAACGTAAATTCAAATGAATTGATTTATCGTCCAGCTCTAATAAAATATGAGGCTTTAAAAAGCATATATAAATAATAAAAATACAACACATCTTCTTAGTAGCGTCCATGTTGTTACCACATTACGACTTAAAGCTCACAAACACAACAAAGTCAGACGAATGACCTCCCAACTCGGGAAATGGGACCACCTGATGCGTTCAAGTGCTTGAACACACCAATTACTATTTGATACAGTGACAAATTTGCTGGTGTTCACTAAGAAGATGCAGTAATTTATGGCACTATGGTGGTATTGAACTTTATTGTCCAACGACAATAAGCTTTCTTTTGAGGTACACTCCACAGGATTCCAAAACTGTGAGTGCGTCATGATAGTATATATGTGTTAGTATTCGTAATTGTCTTAAAACAAGCAGCCACAAGAGGTTTGACTAAAAATAAGTTACATTTATTATGGATTGAGTCAACTTTCTGTACTTTACAGATATTCCTAATTGAGTCTACGGACACATTGTGGTTGGTTCTCAAAATACTGATGTTCGATAACCAGCCCCAGCTGTACAACATGGACATACAGTATTGCAATATAATTTGCTAAAAGAGCTCATCTGGCACAAAAAAAATCTAGTGTATACCCGTAACGGAGTACATTAGTAACATTAACTTTATGATGAAATACAAAAACAGACTTGTTTCAGTCTTACTGTACCTGGTCAGCGAGAGTCTGAGGTGAGGAATAGCCGATCCTACAGCCATGAGAAACACATACGAGCTCTGCACTGAGCTCCAGTACATGGGCGAGAGGCAGGTAGCCAATGTAGGTGTCTTCCTCACTGTAGACACAAAGACACTCTTATAAACAGTTCTGAATGTAATCAGTGCCAGCTCATTTAAACTAGTTAAGTTAAAAAAGCTGAATAAATGTAATACATACATACAATGTGCTGTATAAGAGTTTTAATTAAAATTCAAACTATCAGGATCTGAAAATCTCTGAAATCATAAATCATATGATAGTAATCTTTAGAAGATAAAGCAGGCTTAATTTAAAAGGCTTTTAAATTCTTTAAAAAAAAAAGTCTTTTTTTTTTAAAGGCCAACTTTTCCTTTGCTTGGACTTAAAAATGATCTATTTGTACTTCTGGATCCTCCAAATTCTAGGGAACCACATTTCACTGGACATGTATGCAAGTCATACAGTCATATTACTAATACACAAAGGAAAGATATAATTTTTCTAAAAAGACTGATTGATTTTGTAACATCCGTAAGCCCTTTAACCTCTGTCCTCCCAGGTTTTTCCTCCACTCATACTGAACTCCCTCCCTTCTGCATTTCCTCTCACCCCAGTCTCGTTCCCTAGAGAGAAGGGTCGGTTTTTGTTTTAATGTAAACACTTGTGTTGTATGATGGTACTAGCTGGCTGACTCATACTTGTGCACGTGCTCAGTTGACACAGACGCCTCGAACAAGAAGTTAGCCTGAAAGAACATTTGGCATTTTTCCTTAAACCCATTACGCAACCTTATAGCTATCGACATTATAGTCAGTGACTTATTAATGAAAGAAGAGAGTTTGAGACAGCAGATTAGAGGAAGTTAATGTCCTCTCTGTGCTAATATAATGCAATTTAAACTGCTCGTCTCTTCTAAGGAATACACTGAGCTGAGCAGATTCCCCAAAGCATAAATGGATTAAAGTGTATACAGCACTCAGCCCAGTTTGGGCAAACAGTATCAGTGAGACAAATAAAAAGGCAATAGTGTATTATTTTGCTCACAACAATAGTAATGTAAAATGTACGAAGATTTTTTTTTCCCGGAAACATCCCTCCTTCCCACCTCCCACAAAAAGCTCCACCATTCAAATGGCTTGAATTAGTTTGGGTTAAAAGAATATTTCAACATTTTGGACTGTTATTTGTTGTTTGTTCAATCCATACAAAACCTGAGTAGTAAAAACGTTATTTTATAGGGGTTTATGTCTTGTTCTTGTCACTACCCTGTTCCAGTCTTTATCCTTAGCTAAGCTAACCGGCTGGTGGCTTCATATTTAGTGTACACATGTGACAGTGGCAAGTGAAAAAGCATTTTTTGACATGAGTGCCATTAAAAATATAAATATCCAATTTGGTACAGATATATAATACATTTTTGATACCTTGCTTTGAGAAATATAAACATATTTTTCTACTAAATGTTTTTTAATGTAACAAAATAAAGTCAAATGGTAATTGTTAAGTAACACAAGCAGCCATACAGGAACTTTGCCTAAATTAAAAATCAGGCACTATCTGGTCTTACTACACAGGTAGAAAAAAGTAGATAGAAAAATGTCCCCCAACCATATATCACTTTGAATTTTTTCTCTGTGATGAGTTTGTGTTGCCTACCACAGGTTGGGTATCCGCTCGGCCATGCCCGTGATACCAGCGATGATGTTGCTATGGGAGATCATGACACCCTTTGGTATGCCTGTTGATCCGCTGGTGTACATGATGACTGCAATGTCTGATGGCAGCGGCTGCTTACGCTCACGTGCCACTGTAATGTGAACAGAGAAAACACACGTACATGCAAAAACACACATGGGAGCTGATTATAACAAAACTGCATTAAACTCACGGCTTGTAACATGACACTGTGATTTGTGTGTATTGTATTTATATTTTAACAGACACACACACACACACACAGGAACACAGACTAAACTATAACAGCTATGCACAAAAAATGCCTCATTGTTTATACATTGTCCACACAGACGCATTCTTGGAATAAAAGTAATAGCCTCCGTCTGTTCCATTTGCTGCATGTGTGCAGGATAAACCGACTGGATAAAGGAAAATGCAGCGGGTGTCAAAGTCTAGGGAAATATTTAAAAGTGTCTATAATTCAATAGAGGCTGTGTGAAAGACAACGTGGATGGAAAATAGTCAGCTGTGATATTAAACAATCAGGCCCCTCTTGGCACAATGCAGGGTTTGTGTCTGACTGTGCTAGCCAAAAAACACTATCTCCTTTATCCTCTTTCTGACACACTCTCTTGCAGTCCTCAGTCTCTCCTCTTTATTCGTGTACTTTATCTTCCCTTTTTAGTAAGACTTCAATTGTGTATATTTGGTGGGCACTATGTTATCTTCTATTGATCCAGCCCTGCCTCTCAGTAGGCCTAAATCTTCTCTCATATTGCATCCATGCAACAAGTACCCTACTTGTGATTCTTCAGCTGACACTAAAATTTGCAGGCAGTGGTGCTAACCCTAAAGGCCTGAAGTAATGCTTGAAATGAACTAGTTCACAGTACATGTCACCCATCCAGGTCTGAAGGAACAAGTGTTTGTAGCTGCTTATCGTGTTGCACTTCTACATGCAAAAAGTGACAGAAGAAGTTGCAAATTGAACGAAATACGAGAGCTTGAGAAACGAGATTGGCACCTAATCTGCAATCCTTCACAGTCTTAAAGTGGGTGTGTCGCAGCCCCCCTAAATATGTTGTCAGGAAGGTGTGGAGGGAGGGGGTTTCAGATGCTGTTAGACCATCCAAGAAGCTCTTCGGTTGAAGTATTCAGACCTGCCCTGTGTTAAAACAATGCAAGGGGCTATGTTGTCGGGGTTGTGTTGCTTTAGGCACGACAATGAAATACAATCCAGGAAGTCCTGTTTGGGTAAAGGATCTGCGAATATGAAAGCTTATTGGATGCTGCACAGTAGTTTATAACATTATGAGGCAGGATTTTACAACTCTGGAAAGCGGCAACTACTTTATTTTTCCTGAAGTAAACAGCAGAAAACAATTGTCCTCATTGGAAAGTAAGCAGGAGTGTGCGATTACATGCGTTCGATGGACTGAAGCAGTGCCTTGCCAGATGACGTCTCATTGCACTGCAGCAACAGTTGAATCAAGGTCAACGTTTCTGATGGACCTTGCAATGTCCTGCAGGAGCCCCTGGCTCCACTGAAATGAATGCGAGGGCTGTGGCTTTTTTACGCTTAGCTAAAGTTGGTCTTAACGTGGCCTTAGGGAGAGCCCTCACATGGCCTCCCGTTTTTCCCATGATTCTTGATGATGAATCAAGAGCATGAAGTTACACAGTTGATGGACTGTTTGCATCATTGCCTGCCAGTAGGTGAGGTTTCCAGTCAAGGCCTCTAATCAAGAGGTCGTAGTGACTTTTGATATAAAGGAATGCAAAAATGGAGCGACTCCTGCGAGCTAGTTCAGGCAGACAACTCGAGCTGCGCTG